AAAAAAAAAAAAAAAAAAAAAAAAAAAAGTTTAATGCTTCCTCTTAACTCAGTATTGAGAAATAACTTCCATCTGCCATGGAAAAATGACAAATGTTCAAGACTGAGCCCTTGCTGTTTTGTATCTTGGCTTTTTTTTCACAAGAGCATTTGACCACAGACTCAGAARGTACAAGATTGTCTCTTGCACCTTCTGAGAAATAAATTCTTTCTCCATATTTACTATAATCATTCAAATATCATAATATCCACTTTGCCCTTGAAGAAATGTCCAGGGAAAAAGGAGTAACAGCAAATTAAAGGATAKAAACTTGCTGTAGACTTTTGCGGTGGGAAAGACCTGTTTTGATGCTTCCCAAAACTTGACATAAAGAGAAAAAAAACCCTTACTTTTGCCTTACAACAACATTTCGATTTTTTCATCTATCTGTAATGACTTATTTAGTTAAACACTTTGCTGTTAATAAATAAGTTTCTGTAGGATAAGTCAGTACTGTGAAATTAAATGTGAGAGGCATTCAGTCTCTACTACAAAGAAATCATAAAGAGTAAAGATTACTTTAAAAAAAATTTAAAGTAATAAACTCATTAATTTTAGCATTTCATTTCAAGCATCTTGCCACTACTTAAAAGATTTTAAGCCTGCCTAAAACGGTAGTCTCAGATGCTTTGTATTAAGCAGCTGAGTCAGCAATTACCATGCTCACAAAATATGACAGAACAATTGATTACTGCCTCTTTTTTTTGTGCCTTCCAGATAACTGTTTTCCTTTGAAGTCAGAGGCCAAGAGATAAAACATCTGTTATCCTCCAAAGCGCTCTTTTTAACTGGGGGTGTTCCCATGGCCAAGGAAATAGCAGTGTAATTACTATTTTGTTCCTAATAATTAGAAAATTGTTAAATAGATGATGTAAGTATAGAAAAGCCTTTTAGCATGTACAGATATGTGGAACTATATTGGATTTATTCACTTTTGTGCTCATTTTGCAGGAGTGAATGGCACTGAGCTAAACCCAATCATACATATACTGATGTGTGTTGATGTTAACRTCAGAAGGGATTGTCCAACGAAGTAAAATAATGCGCAGTGGACTAAYAACACTTTATCAGAGAAGGTACACAATTTTCCTCTTATTAAAGTGAAATAAAGTTGTACTGAAATCAGAGGAACAATCCTTTGTAAAAGGGACCCAAGTTCAAAGGAGAACACGGCACAGGAGCTTTGCGTGTGTGCTTTGTTCTGTTAGGGAGTACTGCAACAACACTCGGGGATGTTCTGCATATTAGGCCWCATGTGACATGAAGTTTTGTTCATGGAAAAAAAGTGTAATCTTCATTGCACGACAAAGCTTGAAACCCTGTCTGTTCTAGTCATCAGTACACACGAAAGGAGAGTGAGCATTAAAGACACAACAAAAGGGAAGAAGAAAAAAAAAACTCATGGTTGACTAAACACATCCAGAGAAAAATTAAAAATTCATTCTTTGCCAACTGTCACCCCACTAAGGGAGTTGAGATGTTTAAGTTTTCTCCATCTGTATAAAAGATGCACCTTGCACCCATGTCACAACTCCTGAGACACTGAGGTTGTGTGTGCATCTTATAATCAGGCCAGCCAGCCTCCCAAGAAAGTTACCTATTAAATAAATATGGATTCTCCTTCCCTCTTTCTTTCTTCCTCTCTCTTTCTTCCCCACTTCTTTCACCCTTTTCCTCATCATTCAATTCTCCCCAGAGATCGCAGGTAGGATGGAAGCAGTGTGCAAACTGCTCCCTTGGTTTCATCCCTTCACCTTCTAACTCGAACGCAGCTGCCTGGATGTGCAGACGTGTAATGGGGGCCAGGAAAACTCTGCCAGGAGCTGCTCACATCCCCACTTTGACTGTAACATCTCTGTGATCAAGACAATGGAAGAACAAGACAATCCAGGAATGGAAAATGATCAAAAGTGGGAGTGAGGAAGGTGASAACTGAGAGAACGGGCAGGTTCAGGAGCTGAGCAAGTGCATGTCCTGTATGTTCCAGTGACTCTTCTTAAACAGYAAGGCTGTGTTTGGAGAAGGGGCAAGCTACTTGTGTGGGATAAAAGACATATCAAACACACAGCAGAACCTCTGCAACTGCTAGTGCAGGGACCAGCCTTCTAACCCACAAAACTTAACTAAAGACATCATCTGGCTAACAAGACAGCTATATCAACCTTCCTTTTCCCCCCTAAATCGTAAATTTCCTTTACAGAATTTTCATTTATTAATAGCATTTTAACTTTGGACTTTTTGTGTGTACTCACTATACATCAGTAGACCTAAATTTACCATGTGTAGATCTTTGCCCACTCAGGAAAATTCGTAAAGACTTGCCATTAAAAAAAAAGTATTTGGAAACACTCTCTGTAGGAGTGAGACCTAYATCAKTAGACCTAMATTTACCATGTGTGGATCTTTACCCACTTGAGAGAATTTGTAAAGACTTACCATTAAAAATTGTTTGGAAACACTCACTGTAGGATCCTTTCAATAGAGAAGAACTGCCTTTCATCCATTTGTATTTTCTTAAAGCTCATCATTTTTTCTCACATTTTAAACACCCAAATCTTTTGCAAAATTATTATTTTTCTCCACTCCCCTTTCTCCTTCCCAGTTCTTTAATATATATGTTAAACAYTGCTGGAACTAGTATGCAAGTTAAGACATTTGATTTTTTTATCCTGTCATTGTGGTGAAAGATAATTTCATATTTCTAATCTTATTTCCTAGTTTTGGTCCTTTTTTCTAGTTTGTAATCCAGGACAKTATTTTGTCTTTTACATGAATATTTTAAAAGCCTGACACAAAATTTAAATTAAAAAAAAAAATCCCCCGACACTTAATAGTGATTAAAGAGGTAGGGCTCTCCTCAAGTTATGGCTATGTGTCATTTACAGATGCTTCTTTGGATGTTATCTTTTGTTTACTATTTAATTTGTACTGAGTTAAGGGCCACTCTTACCCAAGACTGCTCCAAAATCAGTATTACTGACAGTCACAATATCTCACATTTTCTTCTAAATACCCCAGTTGCCCTGAAATGCTGCAGGTGCACAACAGAACATACCCCAAATATCCCAGGGCACAGCAGCATTTCAGAAAGCTTTCCAAATTCTGAAACTCATCCCTTCTTTTCTTCAGCTCTCACATTAATATCCCACTTGCAGCGTGCACCTGAAATCTGTTCCTGTACGTAAACTAGAAGTGCTGGCAATATAAAGGGTGAGTCATTCTGAAACTATAATCACATCATAATTAGAATGCAGTTATCTTCTTATAACTTTAATGACACTCATACCAGTCAACTTCCACGTAATATTTAAGTAMTGTATATACTGAACAGGTAAAAGTTTAATCCATATTTGAATCAGTAACATATCCAAGGTGGCAGGCATAAAATAGCCACTGTTTTTCTTCCATTTTCATTATATGCGGTGGGAAAATTGGCWTATAAAAGTTTCCACTGAAAATAAGCTCTTTAATTTAAAGTACTCCTTCGAGATTTGCTGTTTAAACTATCTGTTTTGCATCCACAAGGAGGAGTTGAAGAGGGAAATTCAGAATTGCAACAAACCACTGCTTAGACGATAACACTTTGGCAGACAGGCCCCTCCAGATTTTGTGTTTCTCTAAGATATGAACAGATTGATTAGACACTGTAGAAGACTTTCATAGCATGATGTTAAAGAAGAAAAAATGGAAAAGATTGTAAGAAAGCTTAGCAAAAATGTTGAAAATATTGAAAAAGGAGTGATTTTCCTCAATTAGAAAATAAAAGTAACCCTCCCACATTTCTCCTAGCCAAGAAAAATAAACTAAATTTTTTTWAAAAAAATATTGATCAGAAGAGAAACAAGAAGACAGAGCAGTTATAGAAAGCCTCCCTTGTGCTGGGATTGGTGTTGGAAGAACTGAGTTACATGAGGACAAACAAATCAGAATAACCACCTTTGACAAACTTCTAGGAGAATATTTGTCATGACAATCCATAGCTACTTCAAAGGAATAAGCACTCCAGGTGGACACTGACATCCCATGGAGTCTTTAAGACAAGAAGAGAATGAATGGAGGAAAAATGGATGCGGAGGAACAAAGCCAGCCCAAACACATCCAGAGATTCCCACAGCAGTGTCCTCACTGAGCAGAGAAGGAATCGATCCCTCTGCTCTTTACATTGGAAACATAAGCCAAATTTTATATTCCTGAGTGCCCCTAATAAACATTGGGAATTCTTTTGTTTGGATGGTTATGAAACAGCCACCTCTACAGCAGGTAAAATGAAGAGGAGGAGGAGGAGAAGAGGAAGGACTGATTGAAAAAAAAGTTTCCTGTGCTTAACTGGGAAATCTGCTTAAACGGGATGTCTCCCAGGGAACTAATTTAAACCCGATGATACTTAA